GTTTGCTTTGCTATACAACCTCACTTCATTAGCAAGTGTTACAAAAACCAGTGAACAAACCTTCCCTGCTCCACCACCAGCTATTTGGCCTCTGGGTGGTCTGGCTCCTATTAAATCTTTGGTGATTATTTAGACTAATTGCATTCATGTTTGCACAATCAGTAGCACAAGGGTAGGAAGCGCAGCTGATTACTGAGCGACTGAGCTCCGTGTGGCTTGGCAAGCGGGCTCCCTGGCTCTGCTCGGCGGGCAGGCGGGGATGCGGAGATCTGTGCGGGCAGGGCTTTTCCAGGGATCTCCGCTGGCTTTGGGCCATCCTGCTTCCACCGGTTCTGGTGAGGCGGCTTCCGATTTACACCCGATGAAGAGAGAGGAGCATCCGTTGGGTTTGGTTGAGCTGTGTGGTGTTACACCAGGCTCGTTGGCTTTGGCAGAGGAAAGCCAGGTTCATGGTGGGGCCGTTAACAAAAATCCAAGCCTTTATGACTTGTGTGTATGTGCTGCATGAAGAAGAGGTTTCCTGTGAGCTTCATCTTTGCCGTTCCCAGGCCCTCCGGAGCGGTGCCCTAGGTGTGAACCTGCGTACCGGCCCCCTGAGTTCAAAGCGCCTCGCTCGGCTTCCGTTATCTCAAAACAGCCCTGGTGACCTAAATGCCAAGAACCACTGAGAAGACCCTTACAAGATGCATTTTTGTTCCACAAGGGCCTTGTCAGGGAACAAAATACTCCCTGGCAGTAGAGCTGTGAGGGTCCCGGGAGGCGCGGGACCTGCCACGCTTATCTCGACAGCCTGCGCTCGCCACAGATGCCCTGTCCGCGGCACGGCCATCGTGTTTCCAACTACACTTATCTGGGAGATTTCCCAAACACTTCAGGACTGAAATCTAACAACAGGCTGTTTCCCAACACATCGCAGCCCTCCTCCCCTGCTTCCCCACCCCCTCCAGCCCAGGCCCTTCCCCAGGTCTGATCCTGCCTGCCCTAGTGCTGCTGTGGACCAGCGCCACGTGCACTAGATGGGAGATGCAACCAGGTCAACCTGACACAAGCCTGTGTGAGGGATGAGCTCTGACCCTTTGCAGAACTGTTTCCCATCCCTCCCTGTACCTGTCTGGGATTTCTCCTGTCAACATTCCCACCGGTTCCCTATAGACTGGCCTTTCTCAGCAGACATCTGTCTTGGGACGTCACCAGCCTCTTTAGATAGGTGCCGTGTAGTGAGGATTTGTGGCCTCTCACTCATTTCATGACCTGGATCCCAGTTCCGCACTGGTCTGTTGTATCTTTGTCTTTGTTCCCACAGTCAGGAGCATGGCATCAAGGACAAAAGCTGCCCTGTTTCCGAGAGGGAGCTTGGGTTTTATCCAAGGTCTCATCACCTAACGTAGGAGAGGATGCTTAGGGCTCCCATACCTTCATGGAGAATGGAAGTATGGGTTCATACACTGCGCAGCGTGGGTGGTGAGATGGTTGAGGCGGATGTGTCTCAGATCTCCTGGGCGTTACACCCCAGATGTCCATGCTAGCCTCCTGCCTAGCCCATGAGCCTACGCCTGCTGCAATTTCTCCTTTAGGTTCAGAGCAGGGTGTGTCATGCAGTGCATGCTGCTGGGCTGACAAATGTGATTTAGGTTGTGTCTGTTGTCTCTTGAAGACAGTCTGTGGTCCAGTGTGACTCACATTCCCCCGAGTGCTGTTGGTCCGCATCGCGGATCTGTTCTGGATCATCTCCAGGAGATGTATGTGTGTGTGTAGGGAGTGTGTGTAGGTGTGCAGAGCTGTGTTCTTCAGTTGTATCTTTTCAACCTATTTCACTTAGTCTGAGGAGACAATATCCTGCACTATTTCATTAAATGACCGAGCCAGGCCCTAAGCTTAATTTTTAGCTTTTTCTCCCTGTCCTCCCAAATATCACCCGGGTTTTCTATAAGAGCAGACAGATGTAGGGTGAATGTAGGACTTGGTAGGTGGAAGGAAGAAGAGCTGATTCTTTAATACTGGCTTCACAATGGGTATATCTGGGAATTTCAGTGCAGGTCATATATTCTGTTAATGAGTTGGGCTTTCACAGACCTATTTAAAAAGAAAAAAAGCAGTTAATCTTGGAGTATGTATATCTGGGCTCCACACCTAAATGGACTATCGTTCAGAAAAAGGTTCAGCATTTATTTCTAGCACATGCAGCAGCTTTATTCATGGCACTGTACTCCAGAGGGCTCTGACTGTACGAGCCCAAGGCAAAAGACAGTCCTTCTTAGGGGTTGTACGGTTTCTCTGAGTTGGGTACTTGCGACAATCCTAGTAGATGCTACGTGTGGTTTTGATTCCCTAAATACCTGTGGAAATCAGGTCCTTGGGGAACTCAGATCTGTGTTTGTTGTAGATGTTGTTTAAAGTGGAAGCACTGTAGTGCTGTTAAGTGTCTGGAGAATTTTGTGTTGTCTAATGTGACTGTGGATGTGCTCGTTACCCACAGAAATCTCCGCCTTTTCACATAATAGAAAACTGATCTGTGGAGCTCACTGACATAAGACAAAACAATTCATCTATCTGGACAATAGCACTGTAATAAAAATCAAATTGCATCAAAAAAATCTGTAAGGGGCATGAAATGAATCAAGCTAATCTGATCAGGAAGAAACCCTCTTACACTCAGGCTACCCACTGCTGTGACTGCTGCTGAGCCGGGAAACTGTCTGCCCTTGGGGCCGTGGCTCTGCCCCCGGGGCCGTGGCTCTGCCCCCCAGAGAGAAAGTTTCTGCACTTCTGTCCATGACTGTTCTTAGGAGACTGGAGGGTTTCTAGAGGACAACGCATGGCAAGACATTTCTTCTCTAGTGGCTCCCTCTCCTCAGAAACTGGCTGCAATGTGGTAGCTATCTAGTCTCTTACGTGCACCTTTTGTTCCGGTTGCTCCAGTGCTGAGCACACACGTACAGTGACCTGTAAGAAAGCAAAGGAGAAATGGGAGGAGAGGGAATGTAGAAGGTAGATCACCTCAAGGCAACATCAGACTCCTGCCAGTTTGAGTTTCTAAGGCCACTATTTCAGCACAGCCCACAGAGTAGGTATGGGGAACGTGAGCTGGTATTTCAGCGGCACAGCTGTGCAGGGCTTTTACTCTTGGCTTTGATGTTCTCACAGTGAAACGGTAGCATTTATGGGATCTCCATGCCTCCAACACGTTTCGCTGTCCCACTTATGCATGGACAGCAGCAGGGACAAAGTGCAGTAGGATGTCACAGCTGATTTCAGCCACTTTACCGAAATGCCCAAGTTGGGTGCGTGGTTGTCCTCTGTTCAATGCAGCATGTGGATCCACCTTCTCTGTGAGCCTGTCTCTCTCCTTTGAACGCAGAGGCCGCTTCATCGTCTTTGTTAAACTGTCAGAGGCTACGCAGTGAATCCAGGCCAGGGAGAGGAAAACGCTTGATCAAGACAAATGAAAGAAAGAGGTTCCCAGGTCTCACCTCCAACCAGTAGCTTAGTTGTACAACAGGGAAGATTTTTAAAGTCAAAATCATTGCCAAATCCAGATTGAATTGAGTGGGTCAGGATAAAAAATAAAAGGAGAAAACTCCAGACATATTTAAATGGTCTTTTTAAGCATTTTCTAAGTGAAATAAGTTTTTATTTCAAGATATAACGTTTGCTCTGAGATAGTCTTTTTTATTTGTATGTCTTGGAGGGAAAGGTCAAACCTAAACTGTAGCTGATAATCTAAACCAAAATGTTTCCTCCTACATTGAACAAAAGAAGTCAATTTTTTTTATGTATCTTTTCTTTTTTCCTTCCCAATATTTTAATTCAGTCATTAAACAATCTCTCCTCAGCCTCCTCCCCAAGCCCCATTGTTTGCAGATGTCTCTGTTTTCCTATCTAAGAATATTTGTAACACTGTGATATGAGACAGTCCTGCTCTGGCTGGCTTCTGTTGGATCAAGGGACCCTTAAGCTCCTATTGTTTGCCACATTTTATAAACTTCTTTAGTTTCTAATTATTTGAATCCATTTGCTTTTAACTTTTTGGACTATCTCTTCTCTTCAAAACTTCCACATTTGCACAATTGTAGATTCAGATTATTCACTGGTTGGTTATTTATCTCACAAGACACCATGGCTTGATGAAGAGTCATCACCCTATTCTACCTGGAGGGTCAGGTCTTCCAGGAATGAAGTCAAAAGCAAAGGGAGGAGGCTCTCTAAACCCTGATTTGGTGATGAGCGTTGGCTATTTAATATCTCTGTCAGCATGTCCCTGCCTTAGCCTCCTCAGTTGTGAAATAAAGATCCACACCTCTCCATCCCGTTCTTATGCGCGTCAGGAGAAAGGCATGCTAGAGATGGACATGCAAGGACACGCATGGAAGGTCTAGGTGGAAATGACAGCTATGTGTTCACGCACAGTGCTTGGTCCGCATTCCTAGATGCGCTGTTGATGATACACAGGGAACAGGCAGACCCAGGCTTCATAGCCTGGAGAAAAGTGTTTATGAAAGAGAGAGCAAACGTGTGGCAGCAGAGCCAAGGGGAGCAGACGGAACGCGCGCGTGCAGCCCTCACCGGGAACATTTGAACAGGTTGTGGCACTGTCTTGGAAGGAGTGTAAAGGAGGGGAATGAGGTCATTTGCTCAGTCTGTGCAGATGGGAGAAATTCTTGGGAATTCAATTCGGGGCAAGTGAGACACTGTTCCACCGCCACCCCCCTTTTCTTTATGTAAATACCATGATGCAATAGGCCAAAATCAATTTCCGCTAGCCAGGCGCTGCAGGCTATTGTTTCAGCTCCTTCGCACGCTTCTCCAGAGAGATCACGGACAGATGACAGATCATGCACGTAGCAGTCTCTTGCTTGCATTCCTTTGCTGTTCCTCAGTACCTGTTAGCTGTGTCTCTTGACCTTAAACACCTTATCACTCCAGAGGTGTTGTTTGTTCTCCAGGGAGCTGTTGGTGTGTGCCCTCCTTCATGTCTTTGTGTCTTTGGTTTTCTTCCCCAGGTTACTCCCTTCCCTATGTCCTGTGACCTACAAGGAGAGTGTGCTTGCCGGGACCCCAACGCCCAAGAGCACAATCAGAAAGACCTCCGCAGCTTCAGTCTTGGATAATGCCAGGTGACATGGAATGGAGGACCACACTGCTCAAGGCAGGCTAGGAGAGACACCACATCCCTTTTGGTATCGTTTTTAACATTTAGCTGCTCAACTGGATGGCATTTCTGCACCAGGGACCCTTAGAATTCAACCAGTCTGCCTTTAATTTTTGTCCAAGGAGAACTCAAAGTAGGGGTTTATGTATTAACTATATCTTAAATAGTGATGACAAGAAACAACCAACCAAGAGTACTTTCATGTATCAAAACAGCATGTTATGCCCACCTAATTTGAACAGTTTATCTCTAGATTCAAGGCAAGAAACAAGCTATTTATGTACACATATTTATAGAAATAAGTAGAGAAAGAGAGAAAGAGTGAGAGATTATGATCAACGCAAAAACACTTTCCCCTCTCCAGCACTCACAACTCAGACCGTTCATGGAAGAGGCTGTGCTCTTGGAGGACTCCAAGCTGAGCCTTTTCTGATGCTGAATGCCAAGGTATCGCATGCTCGGGGCACTGAGATTAGGGTGGGATCTCCGCAGGGCGATGCCTCTTAGCAAGTGACTTGCCGGATGCCCAGCCAGCTCGAGATGTGGGATGCATCTGATCCTCACAGGAACGCTACTTCCAGCCAGGTAGCTCAGCAGACTGCAGGGGCCTTTCTGTACACCACCTCCTTCTCCCTCTGCTCTCAAAAAGCCAACAAAAAGCCCCCTTGTAGCCTGCCTGGAAGCTGCAGGGCTGCTGGGACGTTTCTGTGTGGAGGTGGGCAGGTGGTCCCATGGTGGAGTCAGGGAACGGTGAGTCTAAGGACTGGCATCGAGGAACGTGAATGATTGCTTCTGAGGAGCAGAGAGGGTAACTCGCCCCTGCACTTGTCATTTGAGCATGTCTGCTGCTGCTACTCTTGCTGCTATGTCCCATACAACTCGTTTCCTTACTGTGTCAGGACAGGGTGAAAACAACCCCATGCAACCAAACAGTCTGCCTTAAAGCTTACCTACAACCTGCCTTTCAAACCCTCTGGTCTCTTCCTCAGCATTGGGGCAAGAAAACAGGACATCAGCCAGCCAAAGGAATCTGCTTTCTGGTCTCCACCTAGCCAAGTGGCTCTCTGGACCTCCTCCACCCCTCTTATGGTGGTATATATCTAACAACCGCTTCATGCTTCTGTTCTCTCAGAAGAAGGAAAGAGGAGGAGAAGGGATATGCTATGAGGAAGGGACTGTAGGAGACAGTATTAGAATTTTGGCCATATTTGTCAGTATTAAGCTGCCAGGCCAGTGGGTTGGACACCTTTGAAAGACCAGGAGCTTAGCTGCTTGTAATCTTCCAGAAGGAAGGACATTAGCTGCAGCAGACCTCATATTCCCTGTTGTATAGCTCCATCCTCCTGTTTCAGTCCAGGGGGGCACATGTTGTGCCACACCCTTGGGCACTCATTTCATCATAGGGTTCATCACGCTGAATCACTGAGGTGCCCAGTGCATCTAGTGCTGCTGCTACAACTCATCCCATGTAAATCCCAGTGCGGCTTGGGCTGGTCTCCTGCTGCTTCATGCTCCTGCTAGGAAGAACACACATTCCAAAGAGTGTCCTTCCAAGTGTTAAGTCTATCTGTTCCTTGGGACTCTCCTGACTTGTACGATCTACTGGGTAAAGACAGGTTGCAAGGATTTCTTCCTGCTCCTGCTTGATTGAATATTGAGGCACTGAAGCAAGGCAGAAGGGTGAGGGGGTCATTTAGCTCATGGAGATGGATGTAAAAATGGGTAGGAGAACTAGAAATGGAAAACTGATGGAGTTGTACGTGCAAGGAGTCAGGCTCTTGTCACCCACTGTTGGGGTGGTTTCTGTTAGAATAAGCCAGAGATGAATCTCAAGAACTAAAATTTAGAGGCCTGGAGAGGTGATTGTCATAAGAAGATGAGGAGCTCTCTGTTGTGAAGCTCCTAGTTCTTCCTGGAGAAGTCCTGGCTGTGGGAGCTGTGCAGATGACTCTGCCCCCACCACGCAGGGGGGTACAGGAAAGGGAGGTGCTGTGAGGACTCCTTCCATGGAGATAGGCTGAATGTCCTCCGGAGTAGAGAATGTGGGCAACAACACGGCCTGGGCAAAATTTCTGCTTTTGCCTCTTGCCCTCTGATTAATAATGGAAGTAAATAATTGTGAAGAGGTTGCTTCTTTCAGGTCCCTTTGTCCTCCCCTTTTGTGCTGGCAGTTTGTTGATGTGCCATCCAGCCCATCAGAAGAGCTCACAACCTCCAAAGCCTTCCAGACTGCCAACATGTCATGTCCTCAATGCATGAGGCATCTTGGCGTGATCTCCCCGATCTACCCCACCTGGGTTTCGCCCCAGCAGGGAGCCCCAGTTCAGGTCCTGCCTGTATCCTGATGGCAGCTCAGTTTGCAAAATCCCCTTCTCAGTTACACAGCTCAGCACAGAGGTTTTCCCACCTAGGACATTGTCCAGGAGATACAGGTCTGGATAAGCATTATTGCCACTTGCTGCTGTGGGCTCCCACAGTGATCTCAGTGAGCCCTGAGCTCCTCTTCCTGGCCAAGGGAGCCTCTGCTTGTCTAGTAGGAGTCCTCAGCTCGAGGGAGATGACGGCCTCTTGCCAGCACAGCCTCACACCTCAGTGTCACTCCCGCAGTCTAGGGCTGACCCAACTCCCTTTCCCACAGGCAGGCTTTCCATGCTGCTATTTGATTTTTTTTCCAACTTATGTGTTGGCACTATCCATCTTCTCCAACAGGGCTGACAGAACCAGGAGCAGAAGTTCTGCTCTGAGTCATATTAAATCCAATGGCGCTTTTTTTTTTTTCCATTGGGAAAAGATTGCATTGGAGCAAAACTTTGCCCTCTGCTTTTCAGGTGCTGTACTGTGCTCCCAGGGAATGCAGGGAAGGGAGCTGTGGAGCATGGACACCCGTCCACCTCCTGTCCCCTGTGCCCTCACCTTGGGGCAAGGCCAGCTGGATGGCCTTGCAGCATCTACCACTTGTAAGGGCCTTGAATGCCTGGTGGAGTCCCTAGGAAAGACCCTTCATGACTGTGATGGTCATTGGGTGGGAGGTGAGAGGGACATTACCCACCACATCCACCCACCAAGCCAGCGGTGTAGGAGAAAATCAAACAAGAAGCTTCCACGCTCCAGGCCAGTGGTGTAGGACAACATCATCGAGAAGCTTGGGGGAACAGGAGAGGGTACCCATGCTGATTAAATTTAGCTGCTCATAAAGTCCAGATCACATTAGTGCCAAGATCTTCTCTGTCACAGATAGTGAGCCAAGGCTGCACCCTACCTGGGGCCACCAGCCGTCCTCCTGGCTATGGGTGGTGTCCATGGCCATTGGGAGGGAAAGCTGGAGCAGAAAGCAGTGAATGGTGCACGGTGGGGTGGGAAACTCCTATCAGCTGCTACCCCTCTCCCTCCCCACCCTCTCGCAGCTGGGCTGAGCTGGTGTCCTGCTTTTCTTGCATCTTCCGCTGTCCCTCCACCCAGGCTGAGAAAGGAGGATGGCACCAGAGGACTCTTGGAGTCGGGTTCCAGCTACCTCCCTTCCGGTTTCAGTTTCACTTGGTTGTAACTGTCGGTTTGTTCTAGGTTTTACCTGTGTTTAAGAAAAAAAAAAATTAAAAAAAAGGGGAAAAAAAGAAAAAGAGAGAGAGAAAAAGAAAAGCCAACAGCCAACAAAAGTTTCTTGCTGCAACCTATTCAAGTGGGGGAAAAAATAACAACAAGTGAGGCTTTACAGAGAGGAAGAAAAGAAAAAAAAAAACAAAAAAACCCACATAATCCAAATCCAAGAAGAGCAAAGCCTATTTTTGTGTGTTTGAAAGGAAAACATGGATTCTGCCAGCTGAGTAGAGAGCTAGATCCTTCAGTGTAGATTTCCCTAGAAGTACCGTGAGGTTTTATAACATTGTCTGGTTTTGTTTTCCTTGTGCTTTGTGAGAAGTCCAGGAACTAAGGCGAAGGTATTTTTTCCCCTGGTATATTGTTGTTTGTGGGGGGAGGGAGAGGGGGGTGGACTTTATTATTATGATTATTTTTTTTCCAGATTATTTTTTTAAGTGTGTATTTGTGCTTATTTTTACGTTATCCGACTGTACATACGCATCTAACCAGTATTTCACTGTGCTCTAATTACTGCACTCAGAAGCACTGCACAGTCTGAATCCCGAAGAGCTGCGAGAGACTGGGGGGGTGGGGGGGGGAAGGAGAAAGCTGCTACGTGAGCAGACAGGTGATGCCCAGGAGCGGGAAGCGGGGTGCCGACCGTCCCCTTCCCGCGCTCCAGCCCGTTGTTTCCATTCGAGGCCAAGCTAGAAGACAGGAGGGGACGAGGTTAAGCCAGGCAAGGTCGAGATGCTCCAAGGGGTTTCCAAGCTGGCGATTTGGCCTTTGAGCTTTTTTTGGATGCCATGGAAGTTCCCAGCCTTTCAGCAGCGTCTTGCCCTCCCCTGCCCGATCCCTGGATGCCCCAGTGTGACTTAATGAGTGTGTTTGTATCACTGGGAGAGGACCGTATGCCCAGCTTAGATACGCTCTTGATATCTTCATGGTTGTAGGCTCCATTTTGGTCTCAGTGGTGCAGCTGAGCTGATTTGCTTTGTGTTTCTTTCATGTCATCCCATCCTCTGGGGAAAGCCATCTCCCTGCTGGGGACGCAGAAACCCTCGTGCCTCCAGCTGACCTCATGTCTTGTGTGTACTGGGGCCCTGAGGATGGTCCCCTTCGCTGGAGGACCTTGAGCACTGAGTTCAGTGGGAGCATGACCAAGACATCAGCAGGAGCAGGTCCAGGTGGCCCAAGATGTATGTCCTTGGAGCTATGATCCATTTGGGCAATAGCGGTTTGGTGTTGGGCTGTTCCTGCCACCCGGGGAACTGGTGTTCAAAACCCCCGGTCGTTGTAGCAGGAGCAAAGTAGGGCTTGAGGTTTTGTTTCTGTCTTAGTTTGGCAATCTGAATTTTCCCCTTTTCACCTGATCTACACATC